ATGCAGGAGCATATGTTCAGTCTTAAAATGCCTAGCAAATTACGGACCAGGCAATAAGTCCAGCAGCTATCTCAATCAATCGTCAGCTATGGAAAGATCGGGTTCCAAAGGCCAGATCCCTTGTGAATCAAGTCACGAAAAGTTCAAGAATCGGCAACAGGCCAAGGGCCTATTTCTTCAACGCCGACACTTCTATTCTTTTCAGACTATTCTATTCTAAATGAATAATGAATTAAAATTTCGCAACACTGGACAGTTAAATGTGCAGAGGATATAACTATTCTCTGATTAATTATATCCTCTGAATAAAACTATTCAGAAACAAATATTCTCTAAAATAGCTATTCTCTGAATTGTTATATTCACGTATAATACTATCAATAGTTTGAACTATTCTCACTAACATGTCATCATTGAAGGTACGGTGAGGCCACAAACAATATAAATGATAATAGCTGGAATTATTTGGCACTTTGATGATGAGGCATTTAGTAGCTTGTCAATGAATCAGCTGATAATGATGACTGGCAAATAATTGATCATAAACTCCTAAATTGGCATGAAACGTGGATTAATTTTAAAGAGAAATGGGTATAATTTAATGTTAGGTGGCTAGTATATTTAGCAAAATGACCATAAGCTCTAACACATGTAAATACTGGGCATGGCTTACCTTTCCAGTTAATTTTCTAAAGCGAAACTTATTGTCATCGAACTAGACAGTTAAGTTACCCACTCGTAAAGCTAAATCAGATTATTAGATAACTTCTACGTTACTAACTACTCAATATAAAAAAATGAAAATTCCTCGAATGAATCACAATTTCGAGTAAAAAACACATAAGCAAAAAAAAAAAATGAGCAGAACCTCAGTTCTTTGCTCTTGTCTTGAGTTTAAAAGTTCTGTGAAGTAATTTGCATTTGAGGAAAACATTCGAGCTTCTATTCTTTCTGGAGAGTTTCGAAGGCGGTGAGGCGAATAATGAGTTTCGAATTCCATCATTTTTTCATCATAAAGTCAAATTTGAACTTATGGCGTAAAAAATGATGAATGTTTGAGTTTTCAATAATTCAGCCACATCTCGCCTCCAAAGTAGTGATGTCCATTGTAAGAGACGCACAATTTATTAAACTTTCATTTCCAATTATTATTTTGAACTTTATTTAGTGAAGATGGTAATGTAAAAAAATATTCTGCATGAAACCATTTCTTCAATTTCCCTAGCAACGAAAATGTATGGTAAAATAAAAAAAAATAAATAAAAAATATACCCAGAAAATTCGATCCGTCAAGACGTATTTCGAAATGCAACTGAATCAAAAGTTTCTTCGATATGTTTGGGGTGCCGGAGTGCTGGCGTTGCACGTCAGAAGATGACGATCTCAGCAAGTGATGATGTCAGCAAGTGACGATGTCAGCAAGTGACGATGTCAGCAAGTGACGATGTCAGCAAGTGACGATGTCAGCAAGTGACGATGTCAGCAAGTGAAGATGTCAGCAAGTAACTGTGATGTCAGCAAGTGACGATGTCAGCAAGTGACGATGTCAGCAAGTGAAGATGTCAGCAAGTGAAGATGTCAGCAAGTAAGATGTCAGCAAGTGAAGATGTCAGCAAGTGACGATGACAGCAAGTGACGATGTCAGCAAGTGATGATGTCAGCAAGTAAAGATGTCAGCAAGTACCGATGTCAGCAAGTGACGATGTCAGCAGGCAATAAAAAGTCACACAATTATAACATTCAATTGAAAACTAATATTAATTTAATTGAAGCGATGAATTCAATGCACGAAATATATTCGAAAGAGGACATTTATTCAATACAGAACAAATATTCCCTTAGCACGTTATACAATAGAGATTATCCATTCAATAGAGAACATTCATTTCAGTCACGAGGGTAAATTCAATTAAGAGGCTCGAACAATGGTGGGAAGGTTTGCGAAGACAGCGAATGTGTTCTCCAAGCAAGAGCTCCTCATGACAAACCCGATACTTTTACGTCATCAGAGATAATCAGTCTGCAGGTTTCAAGATAAGCCTGATAACAGCTGATTCGGGACTTCGTGATAACGGATCATGTACACTTAAACAAATTATTACATATTGTTTCTTAGTGCTAAACAATTGTAAGCTTAAAATATGCGTTCACCTAACATTCGACGACGCAACTGTCAAGAATACAGTACATGTAATTTAAAGTAATGAGTCTTGGTAAAAAATTAAGCCACCGTGGATTATTTGTAGGCGCAGTTCTAAGGCAGTAAATTTACTTGAGGACGTTAATGGCAAAATATAGCTAGATTTACCCCAGAAAGTCAAGCCAGAATCCACCTTAGATGCGTCACCAGAATTTATGGCTCCTCGGAATGATCTTTGCCTTAAGTTACCTCAACTGCAACACTCTCACCACAGCTTGATTTTTAGGAGTCAATGATTTGGCTGTCCATGAACCACACTTGAATGATGACAGAAACTGATCGCTTCACGAAATTGTGTGGAAGGAAGCATTGTTACAACACTTCTCTTTAACTTCACTTCTTGTTTGTTTGTTGGTCTACTACAAATCTTATAATCAATATTTAACACACTTCTACCTCTCCAATCGATCTGAAATTTTGCACACTTGCGTAAAGTCGGAGGCAATGCATGAATCAATTGATAGAATAAATAATTTCGAAAAATGTAATTTTTTTTAGTTTAAAAATAAAATTAAAAATTAATTTTTCTAATATTTGATAATAAAATTAAAAATTCATTGTATGTGTTATATCGGAGACACTGGATTCTTTAGAAGTGTTGTCTTTAAAAAGTAATTTTTAAACGCATGCTATTCTTCAATCAGGTACTTGCAAATATTATTCATCCGAAATTACCTATCCAATATCCACAACGCCGAGTTAGCTCTGATTATTACTTTGCTAAAGGGAAATATCTCGAAAGAATTTCGAGTTCGTTTTTTTTATTCAGAAGAGTTGAACTTAATTGGCAAAGCTTCTGCAACTCGTTATTATGTTATTTACAAGTTATTCGCTGATATTGCAGTATCCATGCTTTCTTGCCGTCGAATTTGATAGCTGAATTTTGGTCTAAGCAAAAATATAAAATAGCAATAATGTATTGAAGACATTTCAACCCGTGGCTGCTCCTGTTTCTGGATTCTAAAAAGTCAATTAAATAATTTTTTCGTATTGTGATTCAATGATTCGGTTGATAAATCAATTAGTTAAACTTTTCAAACCGTTGCATTTCCTTTATACGTGTTTCAAATACTTCAAGGTGAAAGCTGTTGTCTATTTGTTTGTCCTATTTTTAATCTGGGTTTTCTTTAATTAATTTTAATTTTTCAATTTAGAACTCGTCGCAGATTCTTCGTTGAAAGCTTTTCTCTGAAGGTCCTGAATTCATGCTTTTTTTTGGCCGTAGATCCTTCATAGAATTTATTTGTTTCACCGCCAGTCCTGCCTTTGCGTTTCAACGAACGTCATCATTTTGTTTCTTCTGTGCAGGTCCGGCCATCAGAAATCTCGTTCTAACAGATTCTTTTTTACTTTTTTCTATTTTTACCGCAAGTCCTGCTATCATTTCTAGATTTTTATCGCCTGCAATCACTCTAAACTTTTAAATTCACTCCTTGCTGTCTTTTTCCGCTTTTTACGGAAGTCTATATTATTTTAACCTGTTCTTAAGCAAAGTCTCGCTATCATTTTATTCTTTCTCTCAGGTCCTACCAGAGTTTTTGACGCAACTGCAGCCAGAAGTTGACGCAGAAGGGCTGGAGCAGACGAAGGTCTCTCTGCAGGTGGTAGTGGGGCCCGAACACTTCGTGAGGGGCCGCATGGTGTTCCGCTGCACCGCCAGGATACCCTCACTCTCCAGCAAGACGAGGGAACATGTTGCTGAGGGTCATCTCGAGTACAACATGCCCGTGATGCAAGCAAGGGACAGTGCGCCGATCGCCTCGGGTGTGTGGTTAGAGACGAGGTATCTATTCTTGCTTGCACTCCCAAATACTCTATAGTCTATACTGATTCTTTTAAACTAATAATGCAGTTTCGCCGGCATATGTCAGTAGCTTATCATGTAGCTAATAACAACGCAGCATCCCATTTTGTGCAGGTGTGGAAACTGGTCTTGTAAACGAGAAAGATATTTTTTTCAACATCAATCGAAGGACACGTTTTAAAGTCTTGACTCTATTGGTTTTGCGCCTTCAGCATTCTACACCGTACAGATAATCTTGTTTGGTTATTTTCTTTCCTGGATATTCGTTATTATCTTGATCAAGATTTGAGCTTTTAACAAAAGTCCGAGATCATAATCGAGGTGTTTTTATTTATCAAAATGATTGCATTTCGACAGTAGTAAGAAAATCAATTCGTTTAATATATTTCCCTAGCTCAAAATCAAAAGAATATTTTGCCAAGAGGAAATCAGAATAAAATTTTGACATATATGAGACAGAACGCTTGCTCTGTAATTGGCTAATGAACAATCATGTGTTATTTGTTTGTGTTTTTTTTTTTTTGACAGAAAATATAGCCCCTTTTTACAACACTTCTCTTTAACTTCACTTCTTGTTTGTCTGTCTGTCTGTCTGCTACAAATCTTGTAATCAAAATTTAACACACTTCTACTTATTCTATCGATCTGAAATTTTGCATACTTGTTTAAAGTTGGAAACAATGCATGAATCAAATGTCAAAATAAATGATTTTAAAAAGTAAAAAATTTTTTTTTCAGTATTAAAAAATTGAAAAAGTAATTTTGTCAGCTACAAATCTTATAACTGATATTTGACACACTTTTACGTGTCTACTTGATCTGAAAATTTGCATACTTGTGTGAAATCAGAGGCAATGCATGAATCAATTAACAGAATAAATAATTTTGAAAGAAATTTATATATTAAAAAAATATATATACCTATATTAAAAAAATTGAAAAGTAAATTTTTTTAATTTTCAAAAATTAGACGAGAAATTCATTGTACATCGGTAAGATTGGAGATACTGGATTCTTTGGAAGTGTTGTCTTTAAAAAGTAATTTTTAAATGTATATTATTTAATCCTAATTCAACATTTATTTAAAAAATCTCACAGTGCCGAGCAAGGCACATTTTTATACTGATCGTTTTTTTCTTGCTTGACCGTACATATGAATGTTCGATTCCTGAAATTTGAATAAATCAGTGAAGAAAAATGCAATTGTGGAATATTATGAAAATTTACATGAAAATGGATTCAACAGTGCAATCCTTTCCAAATCAATATCATGGAGATTAAATTATTTCCTTAAATATTTGGAACTTTTTTGACAGTTCATTTTGCAATGTAGTCCTTCACTCCCCCTCCCTCTCGGCATGAATAGCGAGCTTTATGATCTTTTCAAAAGCCCACTATTTATGTTAATTAGGCAAAATTTGTTCATAAAACTCATCCACCGTCATTATTTTTTCTCAACAAATGACGCGTAGCTTTAATACGAAAATGCACGAAAGTTTCATATCATACACGCATGAAAGTTTCATATCATACACGCATGAAAGTTTCATGTCATACACGCACAAAAGCTTCATATCATACACGCAAGAAACTTTCATATCATACACGCAATAAAGTTTCATATCATACACGCACGAAACCTTCATGTCATGCACACACGAAAGTTTCATATCATACACGCACGAAAGTTTCATATCATACACGCACGAAAGTTTCATATCATACACGCACGAAAGTTTCATATCATACACGCACGAAAGTCGTTTCTCAAGTGCTCAACTTTAGAGGGCATTCACCATAAATTTGAGCACAGTTGTTAGGATGAAGATTGTCATCTGATTTGTTACAGAATAAATGAGTTCGATTGTATCCCTACCATTATATTTACTTGTCCGAGTGAAAATAAATTAAAATTAAGTAAAAATTAAAAACTCACTTGAATTTATTTTACTGAATGGAGAATACATCATGTAAAAATATTGTGATGTACCAAATTCCCATTTTAGAATTTTAATTCTACTGCCATGAACATCATTAATTTTTCAAACCTATGTATTTTGCAATAGTATTTTTATTTCCACCATATATTTATATTTATTATTTATTTTCATATTTTTATTTCCGCCAATCATATATTTCAGGCAGCTGAACGACGACGACGACGACGAATTTAAATTATACATGCAAAGTCCCTTCCCCACAACTGCCACGTCCCCACAACTTCCACGTCCCCACAACTAACACGTCCCCACAACTGCCACGTCCCCACAACTAACACGTCCCCACAACTGTCACGTCCCCACAACTGACACGTCCCCACAACTGTCACGTCCCCACAACTGACACGTCCCCACAACTGTCACGTCCCCACAACTGACACGTCCCCACAACTGACACGTCCCCACAACTGACACGTCCCCACAACTGTCACGTCCCCACAACTGACACGTCCCCACAACTGACACGTCCCCACAACTGACACGTCCCACAACTAACACGTCCCCACAACTGCCACGTCTCCACAACTGATACGTCCCACAACTGCCACGTCCCACAACTGACGATGAACTAATTAATATGTGACGTGTTTATGCAGGCGAGATGGCAGGTCCTAAAACACACACAAAGACCATGGCGGGCGCCCCTTTGTTGTGGCTGGTGCCGGCGCTGACTGCTCTGCAGAGGCCATAACAGAGCTGCCACCACCGTCGAGAATTGGACCAGCCATGTTCAGTGTAGTGAACACTAGTGCAATGTGTTCAGTGTAGTGAACACTTGTGCACTGTGTTCAGTGTAGCATTTAAACAGTATATATGTATAAAAAATTCATTCAAACTCAGAATTCCTCTTTAGGCTGCTTCTCTTTTGATCACAGTTCATGAAATTTCAACTTTTCACATAAGTACGTTATTGTCTTTCGGTCGCAGTTTTAACAGAGCGTTGATAATGTATTTTTGAAACGTAAATGAATCCTTATACCTAAGATGAATTTGATTGGGTGCAAAGTAATTGGGAATCTCTTCTGAGAGTCTCTAACTTTAAAATATGAATTGTCTGAAATTTGTCACCAGTTGATCCCAATACCTCAGGTTTAAAACTGGCGACGATGATATTAATTTTGTAAACTGGCGATTCGTGAATGTTGACAACAACTTTCCAAAATCACTTGAGGCATTATTGTTAACATATCATATTCTCAGAACTCCTATTCAATTATCTGTGAACAAAGGTCAAGGAGAGCGCATAAACAACATTAAAAATTATGTAACCCCGCAGATCTACTGATCAGCCCAGGCATCGTCTGCCGTGGCAATTTTGAGAAAATGCTTCCCGTAAGAATTGGGGCTACATATCTTCTTTCGCAAATGCGCCACTGCTTCGATTTTACGATTTAATAAAAACTCGAAGAATTTTTTATCCGGCAAAGAATTAATAGCTTCCTTTCAAATTTGAATAAGAAATATATATAGAAATTTTGTGATTTTTACAGAAAAGATCAATTAGAAACTGTTTCACAAAGCCTTTGAAGTAATGGTTACTGTGAAACTAAAACTACCGAATTTCTAGCAATTCCGTAGGTATTGGTCGCTTTGTGAATTTAAATATCATCTAAAAAATTCAACGCATACATTGATAAGACCTCGCGTTCAAATTTCCTGTGTCGAATTCTCCTCTTTGTGAACACCGAGACCTGTAACAAGAAAAATAGGTGCTCTGAAATCCAGAATGCATGTTTTCTTCGTCAAAATGAATAATAAATTCCTGAGGTCACAGTTTTCTTTGAGGATGTCCTTGTGGATCTTCGTGTTTTTAACCGTGAACTTCTTTGTTTGTCTTGACCGAAAAGAATACAAAGAGCTTTTTGTCTGAGGTCAAAGCCTTATCCGTTGGACAAAAATATATTATTTACGGAAAAGAAAAGGAAAATTGTATTTTTCTGCAAGCGCTGTTACCAAAAATTGTAACAGTATTTCGATGCTGAGAAATACTTGTTGGTGAAATAGGGCAAATATTCGTGGCACAGGGAAAAATAACGGAATAAAAAATATTGAGGTTAAAATTAGTCTCTACAATGAACATTACTTCATATAATATTTAGAAAGTAGTTTAATATGATCTCTTTGTACAGAATGTAATTTTAGTAATACAAAGGCCCACCTTGACGTGTTTTCCTTATGCAATGTTAATAAAATTATTCAATAACGAACAAAGTTTTTCAAATTGTACCCCGCACAGATAGAAAATTCTAACGATGAAAGGTGCCTTCAAGCTGTCGAGTTCATCTCATGGACTTAGGAACCCCTTTTTTTTACGTGTGACCTTGAATGCTGAACTGTATTAATTGGTAAAATATTTGCAGTAGAAGTTCTTCCACAAACATAAAACTGATCGTGCAGTTGGATCAAATTTTCATGAGAGCTGGGGCATTGTCATATGCTTTTCATCATAAACGATCTGAGTGTTGGTGAATGGTCGATGCTTGGCATCACGTCCTTCATGGCTCTAAAAATTTCAATTTATGCAAGGTATCGTTACTTTCATAGCGTAATAACTTATTGAATCTTTGCTCGTTATCATCGTTTATTTGGCGCTACATCTTCTATACATCCTTATGGGTTCAGAGCGAGATCTCGGGATTTCAATTAATGACCCATCATCATAGTAACAACCTTAATGGCGGCCAAACTTAGGGGCTGATAAGAGAACTTGTTTACAGGTCGACCAGGCCAGCAACCGTCGCTAATTCTATGCAGGAGGAGCCACAATAATGGCGTCCCAAATGCGAGGAGCCTGGTATTTTTAGATGGCGCTTTAATCAAGCGGCGCCTCGCTGGCTGACTTAGCTGAAGTTCATTTATGACTTGGGAGCCTGCATGGATTGTAGGCTTTTTCTTAGTGATATTACGGAACTCTGAGCAGGAATTTCAGTTACAGTTTAGTTACAGATGTTGTTTAAAAATTTATCTTGATTGCTTTCAAGAAAAACATGGAAAAGTTCGAAAAATATGACACGTATGCGCCCACAAATAGAGGATGAGAATTTTTCGGATTTATCGCATCATTCATCAGGCAAGTCTGCCAGTTGCATGTTCACAGTATGAGCTTGACCAATTATTTTATGAATGAAATATAATTATTTCGGATATTTCAGCCGATATTTACTGAGGCATAAGAAATTTGCGGTATTTGTTGGCAATGTTAGCTAATACGACTCAGAAATTTTCAATTAACTAGTATTTGACAGGTTTAAACAACTTTGTAGAAGTCATTAGTTAAAAATTTTTTATGAAAATCGGAGCCGAATATTTCATGACTCACACTTTGACATAACGTACATATAGTTTTCAATACTCAGACATTTTATTACCGTTTTCTGCTACCAAGTCTTCGACTGAATTAGATTATTAATAATAATTAAATAATTAAATTATCGTCAACGAATAAGTTATAAACTGAGGCCCCAAGATTATTAAGTACGTTCATATAATACCCATGAAGACATTCATTACAAATAAATTATCTTGTGTCATCAACGACACGTTATTTCCTAAACTAAAGCGCCAGAAATTATTGGCGTTTTGTAGACGAAATTTTTTTCGAATTAACCGCATCTCGTTCTTCGAGCGAGATAGAACACAAAAGTCGTCAACTCTAATGAAAATCAAAAGAATCCGGGCTACCGGCATCGAAAAATCAGTACATATTTTACAGCGCCAATTAATTTTTGCCTTAGCTAAAGCTTTTTTTAAATAATAAATGAGAATTTTTAAACCCTTTCCTTTACCTTTCCGAGGAACAATTCGCGACCAAACTACACAAATGGATTCGAAAAAATTAGAACACGATACCACTATATTTAAATTACCCCAAGAAATAATTACCAACGATTCGCGTTAAGGAATCCTAAGAACGAAGGTAAAATTCTATTGTATATTATAATAATGAAGGAATCATAAATAATAAATAACGACAGATTTTCCCCCTATAGTGACCTGTCGGTTAAATAATAGGCTTACACATTAGTCAGATCATTCACCGGATTCGATAGTAGGGTAACGTGGGGCAGCGCGCCCCCCACTTTTTTAAAACTAAATTTTTGATGAAGTTTTAATTGATACGAGGTGGTTCTTTGTTTTGTTTATAGAGAACACGGACCAATATCTGCCATACTTAGCGAGAAACCCGCTATGGGCCCGTGACCCGCAGTGGGCTCGCTGCCCCATGTTACCCTATATGGAAGTACACTGATTACTTGGAGCTGAGATATTACCTTTAAAAGCGTCATAGCCATTTATCACATTGCACAAATATGAATGTGAAGTCTCAAGAACAGGACTTTCATTTACTTTTATTTAGTATGATTAAAACAAACGGACTTCCAAGCTTAATGAGATGCAAACAATTAGACCGCGGGTCGCGTCGCACAGCGACCTTAGAGCGAATACTTGCCTAGCTTCACAGACTGAAGATCACTTGAACTTTAACGAGAAACGTTCGCAGTTATATTGTGAACATGACTTGATCTTAGGATGAAGATGGATGCACACACTCTGAAGATGACCAAAAATCTAGCCATGGGCATCGCAGCTTATCATAAAGATGGAATAATCTTATGTGGAATATGGAATATGAAGATGTCTTGGAATTTTATGTGGAAGTTGACATGAAATTCTAGCAAAAATTTCCCAATATTTCGCAAGTATATCCTTTGCCCTTCTTTTGTTTAAGGGGAGCGTCTGCCCCAAAAATTATCTCGGCTATTTACAGACGGATCACTTTGAAACTTGGTACACATATGTAAAATCAAAAAATAGTCCCCCTTTCATGAAATGTCGTGAAATCATAAATCAACGTAGAGAGATGGCAGTGGTACCGTTGGATAGGGCAGAATGTCAGCTTTAAAATTAGTATAAAAACCGAAAAAGTAAAAATTTTCAATTTTAGGGTAGACAGTACAGTAAAAATGCTTCAATGAACCTGCTCCGCTGCTCGCTGCCCTGCGATACGTTGATGACAAAGGAACTCAAAAGAATATTTCATAGCAGAAAGTCATATTTTAAGATTGGAGCGTATCTTGAGACCGACTCAGCTCGATGCAGATGGATTATTAAACATCAAAAGTTCATCTGTCCGAATAAGTCCGAAGAAGGTCAAAACGAAGATAGTTAGGCAAAAAGTCCGGCTAACGGTTTGTTAGCGGTTAATTCCGAGAATGGTACAAATTCGCATTTTGAACTCCAGCTGTTTCAAAAAAGCGCGGCCAGGAGTTGGTCCGCTACAATATCATTAGATTATTTTCATGTTCCGTTTTACCGTAAAACTTCAATTGCACAATTAAAAAAAATCGAGATTCACGTCAGCGATTGGCAAGCTCAATGGTTCCTGATCTACAAACCTTGATGTCAGCATAATTTTTTCAACCTTGTAATCGAGAACTTCCATTCTAACATTTTGGACTTGAGACGTGAATTGTGATTTTATAATAGAATCAGGATTTCAGTTAATCGCAATCAATCAGCCAATCAGGATTTAGGCTTTGCCGATGTTTACTGATCGCAGAATGTAGAGGTTCATTGTAACCAACGGTCAGCGTAACGACTTAGATACGCGGTTATGAACATGAAAACCGAAATACAGTGCACTGAAAATATTTCTTTCTCTGATCTCACCTCTTCACTGTAATATTCGAATCCGCGCTAATTTTTGTAAATATGAATAGAGGGCCCTGTTTGCAGCTTAAGAAATCCTAATAACTACTTTTAATATTGTTATTAATTGATCGTTCTTATTAATTAAGCATGAAAGTTTGCATCGGGCATTTTCAGAAAAAGCTTCTATAAAGCTAAATGTTGATGTAACCCCTATACTTTTTGCTAAAAAAAATTCAATCTGTTAAAGAGCACAAGTTAAAAACATGTTACCTCGTAAATCCATCATTTAATAACCAATCAGAAACCATTTTCTTATTAACCTGAATCTAGAGTAATCAACACCATCGCGGAAAATACGACCACTGCATGATACTGCATGCTCGAGTTACTTATTTGCTGGAGCGTTCTTGGTCATATTTATTAAGCTGATGCACTGGGAAGTTCATCACATTAATGGCAGATGAGGGTGTTTAACCTCGAATGTTAATCATCATAACTTGGACTCTCCAAACAGAACATTTCTCACTCTCGCTAACTCATCTCTCGCTGCAGGGAATGTATTGCCTTCCAAGATCTTAATTAAGGCGAGTAATGCGCGAGCCTTTAGCTGCACTTGAAAATGAAGACTTGGGGCTCATTGAGGTCATCGATCTCGTGGCCGACAACGAAGAGTTTCGTTAGTGAATTTTCTTTGACTTCATGAAAATACCTGGGAGGTGGAGTGATAGCTTGGAGGCCTAACCAGTATACGAGATTATTTTGGTAGTAGGGAAAAGATAAGAGGAAATTTTTAAGGAGCCTTGTTATGGTGAAAAACATTGTTTATGGCTCCATCAAGAAAAACAAACAAGAACCAACACCAGGGGCCACGGCTATAAACTAAAAAAAAAACAGCGTTGGAACACATCCATGCGACAACATTTCTTCTCGCTTCGAGTCACCGACATGTGGAACAGCCTACCTGATAGCATCGTTGACGCTCCGAGTATGAATATCTCAATCAATCGTCAGCTATGGAAAGATCGGGTTCCAAAGGCCGGATCCCTTGTGAATCAAGTCACGAAAAGTTCAAGAATCGGCAACAGGCCATGGGCCTATTTCTTCAGGGCCGACACTTCTATTCTATTCTATTCTATTAGAATCAGAGCTTTGAATCGTTGCTGTGATTGTTTGTAGCTGCCCGTTGTGCGTGGAAAAAATGAAAAAAATATATATTCTAAATAAGAATATAGAACAGCAAGCGTTTTAGGACATGTAACAAACATTTTAGAATAGAAAAGAAGTGTCGGCACTGAAGAAATTGGCCCATAATCCCATGATCTTTTGCCGATTCTTGCACCTTGGGTGCTTAGCAAATATGCTTCTAAGTTTTATTCTCCACCGTATGTGTTTTATTTTATTTTAAAACTGAAGGAGAAAGTAAATTACCTAGTAAACTGTCATTGTTTAGGTACACATTTTCAAAGTACCGCGTTGTTTTTTCCCATTAATCGTCCATTCCTCAGGCTAGATTGCAGGCTTAATTACTTGCACAAAACGCTAAGCAGTATTACTGCTATGGGTTTTTGAAGGGGCAATGATTTGAAGGAGAACATGTTGAAAATTTTCTTACAGTTGATGAGTAAAATAATGTGAGATAATGTGAGATAGTAAAAATTACATGCGGTAAATATCCACTTGAAATTGCTCAACTAAATTTTAAATGGAGTCAATCGACGACTTACAACAGGTAGCAACTGTATTTAGTTATTCTCTTTCAAAAATTCAACTTAAAAACACAGAAATTCCAAAGCTTTTACGCTATTGATTATAGCGTAAAAGCTTAAATGAGCACAAACTTTAGTCGATTGGAAAATGCTGAACCTGAAAACCGGAAAAATAACTTATTCATAAATGCGGACCGGAGCAGTTGTTTACACTTTCGATCAGCCGTTTTTTACTCTGTGTTATCCTGACCCTCATGGTCAGGAAGATGTGCCAGGTGCGCGGAAATTTATATTGTCATTTTAACGACCTGCGCGGTGCGCCGTACTATGCCGGTAAAAAAAATGTGCCGTGCGCCGACAGCGCCGTACTTTTAGAAAGCTAAAATAGTTTAAATATGGACGCGCGGCAATGCAAATTACGTAATCACACTGACCGTACACACAAACGTGTATCCGCACTGTGTTGTGGTTGGATATCAATGCTGGTTCAGCGTTACTTGAAATCATCTACAGACGATGTTGCCATTCCATTCAGATGAAAACTGTGTCTAAATCAGAACTGCGTCGGACGGCTCCGCGGCACGCGCCGAGTGCTGCGGGGCGCGGAATCGATGACCGTGATTTGCACGAACGTCTGCGCGAAAAAAATATAATTAGATTGATTTACACGAGAAATTTCCCTGTTTATATACATCTTCCTGAGTGTGGCCTGACCCACGGGATGCTCACCTTGCATCAGAGAGTCAGCTGCGTTCATTGAATGAACATCTCGTACTCTATTGTCTATCGCTCTTGATTGCGTTAAGTTATTCGGCAAATAATCATTCATAAATCACAGGTAACTTGATTTTGTACTATTACTTATATATATAACTCGAGTATATTTAGCAAGGACTCTGTCCAGAGTCAAGAACCCAGCTGGCTTTCTCACCCCTCCCTGGGAGTGGGGGCAGAGGCCCCATCCTCTTCTCACTATGATCTATGACAAGAGGCAGAAGGTTTGTGGGCCAATCAAACATCTTAGTAGGTTTGTGGGCACGCGGCCCAGGCTCGCCCAGCCAAGGTTTAAATTTAGGTAGTGTAGTTAAATCCTATCAGTTTAATTCAATATCATTTTCATATTAAGGCAATATTTTATTTTTTTGAAACCCTGTTCACATTATTAATAACTTGTCAAAGTTGTATTTTTTGTTGTTTTTTCACTTATTGACATTTATCTTTATGTATACTGTCATTACGGTGTAACTGTGAACTACTCAAGTCCATAGGCAGGAGCTAGAAAGCTGTGCCAGGTGCGCGGAAGGAATTTGTGTCTTTAATTTTTCATTCTGTGCAGTGCGCAGTAATTGGCAATGTATGTAGCATATTAATAACCATATATATAGGTTGATTCCTGCTGCTGCCACCTGCCACTGCCAGCAGCTGCGGCCTAGTCTGGAAAAGTCCTATTTTTGTCTGAAATATCGCGGCTCTAATATCATATAATTTCAGTAGGTATGAAATCTCGCGGCTCGAATGTCATAAATTTTTGTTTGATTAAAAAATCGCAGTTTGCACTTCGCAAACATGTCATTTCATAAAATTTTCAACTTCCGCAATCTGCATTGCTTTACCGTTTCCGCCAAAAATATCTTGCAGAAAAAACATAAACATCGTAATGTAAACAAATAAACAAAACGTTTGTTGAAGATTGCGCATAGTTGCGGTCATGTCAAAGCGGTCAGACTGTATATTAACACGTGCTGAACTTACAGTAGAGACAAATTTTATTGTTGCCATTTGACTGTTTAAGGGTAAAATTAGAATTTGGGGTAACACGTGCATAAACTTTGTAAATAAATTCGCATTTGCACCTCGTAAATGGCTTTTCATGGCCGAGATATGGAATTCACGGCTCGGTGAAATAGAATCACGGCTCATAGAAATGGAATTGCGGCTGGCAAATCCATAAAACCATGGCTCGAAAAATTCAGTCGCGGCTCGCCAAGTAGATATATTCCATACTAGGCTGCGGCTATGCTGTGATGTAATATATTCTCACAATGCTGATAGGTGACATTAGGTGTCAATGCTTGTAGTGTATTAATAACTACACATAGTTCAATCCCTGCTGCTGGAAAAAGCTGCAGGCCTGCAGCTATGCTATGTTGAGTAATGAGTATGATGTAATATCTTCTCACAACGCCAATAGGTGTCAATGCTCGTAGTGTATTAGTAGTCATATATAGTTCAAGTCTGCTGCTGGCAAAAGCTGCAGGTCAGTGGGTTTCATGGCTTTGATGGCATCGCCTGCACAGCCAGTGGCCGAGCACTGCATCGCGTCATCGATAGGCCCTGTCACCACCGTTTGAATTAAATTCAGTCTGCAGCTATGCTATGACATAATATCTTCTCACAACACCAATAGGTGTCAATGCTTGTAGTGTATTCATAACCATATATACTTCAATCCATAGTGGCAAACCAGTGATTTTTTGGAATCAGTTCATTTTTAATTTCCTCATTTACTCAAGATTCAATCCAATTTTTTATGTATGATAATGCTGGTATCCATGATACTCTACTGGTGTACCTATAGCCTATAGGAGTCAAAAATGAACTAGGAGAGTCTAAAAAACTCTGCTTTGCCACTATGCAAGTTCAATCCTGCTGCCGCCATAAGCTGCAGCTATGCTACAATGTTTTATTGTCTCACAACGCCAATGGGCGTTGATGCTTGTAGTGTCTGCGTGTCTATGATCCTTTTGTATGCATAATAGGTAGTGACCATACACACGTTAAATGCCGGTTAATTCTAACAATGGTGGCAGTGCAATTACAGGATTGTATCCATATGACTCATAGCTGTGCAGATATGCATATTGAAGACTGTTCCTGCTTTCAGTGCCAGTTGCCATTCAGTGCCCTCTGTGCAGCCAACTGCTAATGCCAACTGCTATGTTTTGAACAATCCTGCTTTGTACAGTGCAGTATTGAGATAATTCTGCACAAACTGCGCCATCTGCGCGGAACATTGGTTTCAGGAAACCCATTTTGCGCAGGAATATTCCCCAAAAAACTACCTACATCTTTCTGAGAGTGGTCAGGCAAGTGTATATTTTGTGTCCCAAATCCAATCAGTTAGGATTCCCGCATTGTTTTGAGGTTTGGATATAACTAGAGTATCATTATTTGTATTTGCCATCAACATCAAAACTTTTTAAAATTTATTTATGCTGTAACTATATGCTGGGTAAACTGGTTATATTCATATTAGCCTATATTTCATCTCTGTATCACTATTTAAAAAAAGTATATATATTTTTTCTCTTTAACTATTTGCTGAATTATATATTTATTATTTATATTAGCATATATTTCTTTTCTGTATTACCTTGTAAATTTCTACTTATGATTGAAGGTAATACATGCACAATGATATTGGTAGAGTCAGAGTCTGACAAGCCTGACAGTGAAGATGAGAACATTGTCCCAGAAACGCAAACGCATGATCCTGCTGGCCCTCTTCTGCAATCTGGACTCCAAGCATCTTCAGATGAAATCACTGGCCATCAACCCAAGCCTAAGGTGCTAGAAAACAATAGAACAACTAGGTCAAGCATGGACACACGAGAAGGGTCCCCTAATCCTAGAGGGCACGAACGGCAGATTGACACCGAATCTGAACAAGAATCAGACAGCTTAATCAGACCAACAGCTTCTTCTGCTAGTGCTAACATCAGCAAAGCTCCTAGATTATCTGCCCAACCAAACACAATATAAATCATTTTCAACCAATGCAACTAATAAATCATCTGGAAACAACAACACAGTGATAATTAAGCAACTGTCTCCTGACACCAGAAAAATCTCCTTGGACACCATCTCAGAGGCAAGAGAACTACAAAAAATACCAGGTAATCCAGAATTCCTCAATCCATGATGTCTGCATTAACAAGAGATGCAATATTATTGCAATAGAATTCAAACCCACTGAAAAACAGGAACAAGAATAGCTCCTTTCAATAACCAAGCTTGGGAATTAGAAAATCAAGTATTACAGACCAACATTGTCTCTTAGTAACTCGTGCTCAGGTGTCTTGGACCAGTGGGTCTGGATGTCGACCTAGAAGAGCTTTTAGACCTACAGAAACAACCCTGTAAAATAGTCAAGATAACCAGACCAAATGCTTTGATATTTTTTAATGAAATCATTTGTAGATGCAAAATAGATGTCAACTATATATTCTGTTTGAGAAAAACCTTTAATTCTTTAACCCTTGTTAGCATGCATAGGTACCTAAACATACCTGGTGCAGTCATACATACCTAATCACACCTGGTACAATCATACCTAAATTTGTTATAATTGAAACATTGTAAAATTATGCAAGCTGACAAGCACTTAAGGAATGACTCTTTGTCAATCTCGAAAAATTTGCTGTGGAAAGCAAATTATATTAGTTAAATGAACTTATTTCGTAAAATTAATTATGTCTTACCACAGAACACTTTTAATCTTCTTTTTACCAGGGAAATACTTGAACTAAATCTAATTTCAAACATGACCAAAATTTTGTGCCTACATGTATTATACATGTCCTATGACTACTAGTTTTTATACCAGTAATCAGACAAAAGATACAATTAGGTAATAATAAACCATAAAATGATTTCTTCATAGGATTTGTTGGATTGATTTATGTATATAGGTAGATAATGTTAATAATAATAATAGTGTACACTGTCTTTCGGCTCTAATAATAATCATATTATTTTGCTCAATTAGCTGTTCAATTATCAATTATTGACACCTAAATCCTCATTTTCTATATGTGAAAATTCTTTATTTATACTACTTATGATGAATTTTTCAGATATGAAAAGAAATTCTACCATCTCAAATACCATGTCAAAACGACAGAAGATCTGTCACAATGAATTTGAGGACTTGTTTCTTTCTCGAATTACATGTCATATTTTGCCTGCCAGTTTTGGACTCAAAAGAATGGATATTTTCAAGAAGCAAATCGAAAAATATGGTGGAAAATTAATGCCTGATGTCAATTCTTCTGTGACCCATATAATTGTAGAAGATTCTATTGGCAAACCGAACCTTGAGAAACTTATTGACATTCATGCCATTGGCTCATCAATTGTCGTGAAATGTTCATGGTTGAGCGAGTGTCTGAAAAGCAAATCTCTCATTGATGAAGCAGATCATATAGTGTACAAACCATTAGAAAATCAATATGATAATTCTAGCTCAGGAAATGCAGTTTTCTCTCACGTTGCTGCTAACAAATGTGCTTCACCAGACCATGGACCTGATATTGAGCTCCTGCCTAAGGCAAGCAAGGAGGAGAGTTCAGCTCTGGCCAATGAACCTCGCCAGGATGACGCCAAGGTTCCAATTGCTAAATTTCAGGTGAATTGTGCTTACTCTGCATGAGAGTTTTAGAAAATTTCGTAATATTTTACAGAATTATATTCATTTTGACAATCTTACAATGCAAGTTGAGCCTAAAAGATGGCTATTGCCTAGCTAGCAATGGTTATGATAAAATTAAATTCATCATTATCGTTTTCATGTATCGATTATCCAAGTTCAAATTGATAGTTTTAATGTTCCACTGTTTACAATTTATTTCTCTCTAAATGTCTGTGATGATTTATGTTGTTTTTATATATGTTTTCAGTTATCTAAATTGCTTTTTTATGATGTGTACGTTCGAAAATGTCAGTTCAACTACGAGTTAGCATTTTTGTCCTGTGAAATTTTCATGGTTTCTCATGACTCAATTTCTGATTATGTTAGTCATGAGTTTACCGAATTGTTACAACTACGGTACTCGCTTTTTCCCAAGTTTCTGCCCTGAGCTTTGCTACAAAAATATATTACCCCCTGATGATGTAATTTTTGTCCTTGTGCGAGTCATTCTGACGCAGGTTTGCATTTAAAAATGGCGTTTAAGTGCTACGTGCAGAAATTGTGTCGATATATGGACAACTTGACCCATTCATTTTGCTATATGACGCAGGGCGTAAAATTGCGCGATATATGAAGCAGGGCGTGAAATTGCGCGATATATGAAGCAGGGCGTGAAAGGCGCATGTAGCAGCTTGCTGCTGCTGGCGCTTTTGTTGCTTTAATTGAAGCTTGGCAGGGCTGACGGCGCTGACCGGTGAAGAGGCACCGACGCTCGTTCCCATACGCATTCCTACACTCAGAAAAATTAATGGGTAATATGGTCCAAATATTGACACGCTTCCTGCAAGTTGCACTAACATGCTCTTTTACCAGGAGAAAACTGGGTTAGGGTGACCCACACCAGCCAGAAAATGCATTGCCATTTGGACTAAGTTTCGCTTATTTTCTGAGTGTAATGACCATTTATGTATGCATAGGCAACAAACCTGCTCTTGCAATTGTCCAGAGTGCTATTAAAGGAAAGGCTTCGAATATTTTCAATCCTTTCACCTCAGGCCTCTGCATTTATTAACTGTTTTTTTTTGCCTTCAGAAACGAAAGCGGAGCACTACCATACAGTGAAATAGTTTTTTGATGTGTGGTATTGTCCGAGAAGTTTTTTTTAAACATAGAATAATATTGTCGCTCAATCAATTTTCGTTTCAGAACTATCTCGAAAATAATTGGTAAGGAAATGAGCTCTTTCGGAATATTCTAAGTTTATGTGCAAATTTAATATCCAACCAACTTTGTTTCCTTAGTATTTGTTTCGGACGTAGCAGTCCCAGGCCACGATGGATCGCCGCCTCTGATTACGCTCATCCGCCCTCATGTGGGCCAGCTGATGCACGATGTTAATGCTTGCTTCTCGCCGTCAGTAGTGGTGCAGGGGCGGTCGATCAGGAATTGTGCCCAGGAACACGTCCAGACGTCTCTTGAAGGACGTGTTTCTGAAGTCTTGACTCTAGTCTTAATGTATTTTACAGGCGAAATTCGCATGTGCTCACTCGAGCTCCAGCCGCCACGACCACCAGAGCTCGTCACCGAACCACCAAGTCACCGAGGAGCTCACGAAGCTACTCGAGGTGTACCGGGCCAACAACGACACGTGGAGGATAGCTGGATATCAGAAGGCCATCGCTGCCATCAACGCTTACCCTAAAGAAATTACATCCTATGATGTAGGTGACATAGGCTTGACATAACACCTGATTACATTACCTACGTTACATTTGATTACATTGCAGAACATTTTATGCTCTGTCTCTTTGGTTGGTGTATACTCCTGTATCATATTTTAAAATCTGATGTTGTTAAGGCCTGGATATAGATGCCATTTGATTCGATAAGGTACGTAGTAGTTCTGGTATAATTTAATAAGATTGATCGTACTTGTAGGGAGTAGGTATTCTTTAATTTATTCGAAGTTTGCTACGATTAGCCTCGTTCTTAGTCTTAGGGCTGCTCAAGTATAAACAATAAATAAAAGGTGTAACCGAGGTGACCGTGGTCATCATTCCATCATGTTTATCAATTCGTCACATTCACGTTTTTTATTTATTCGTCCACATTAGTTAAAATATCGACAAATACGATGTGTGAGTGAGAAGCCTACGGCGATGGTCGAGTATATTAATTAATTAAATTGATTAATTCTTCCATCATTCCAGGAGGCTCGGCAAATACGAGGCGTGGGTGAGAGGCTGGCAGCGAAGGTTGCCGAGATCCTGGCCAGCGGCAAGCTGCGCAAGGTGGAGGAGGTCTGCGGCTCTGAAGAGACCGCGGTCATCAGCCTCTTCTTGGGGGTGTGGGGAGCCGGGCCTTCTACGGCCCGGGCCTGGTATGCCCAGGTCAGTCAGACCAGCGCGGCTTGTATACCATTGACTAATTTTTTTGTTGATCACTGATATCTGTAAAAGTGAAAAAATCATGCGCCAGAAAATCATTTTCTGATAACATAAAAATTGTGTGATTTTGGTCACGATAAGCATAATGTCTTGATTGTCCTGAAGGAAAATGGTGAATTTCATCGATATTTTTCACTCGTTCTTCCAGAGACGAACAAGACTGCGAACTGAAAGCAGTAAATTTTGACTTCGAAGCATGAATATGTTCCATTGTTTGCTTTTTTCAAGATTTTATTATTTTCCTAGTATTAAAAAAAGTAACATTAGAAAGAATAAAATCCTAATGGATTTTAATATTTTTCCTATAAGGGTTATATGGAGGGTTGAACCCCAGCGTTATCTATTGCAGGGTTTGCGCACACTGCAGGACCTGCACGAGCGCGCCTCCCTCACCCGCCACCAGAAGGTCGGCCTGCTGCACTACCACGACCTCAACGCCAGGATCCCACGACACGAGGCTGCTGCCATACACAGCTTCGTACGTCACCCAGCAGGCACATTCACGAAACTTTCACAAACTTACGGCTGGGATTGTTTAAGTATTCAAATTGACGTGAGATTTTTTTTTTCGTTCAATAGAAATGTAACATAATATAGTGGGATCAGCGTTGATGATATGGCCACGTTTGGCATGTCGCCTATTATAGAAATTGCAACTCTTCACTACTAGCTTCGGATTTCAAACTCGCTTCTCACTGTTCTAATATTTATCTTCTTAACCCCCCAGCCGCCTCGCCCATTTCGACCGGATTTTTCACAGCTAGCTCTGGTTTTGATCGCGCTACTCGCTGCTCCAGTCTTGATTATCTCAAATATTGGGATACAACGCGCTATAATGAACTCGCGCAATCAACTATCCAGCACTAAATGCCCATTTTTGTATCCGTTTCATGTGCATCCATTATTAATACGTTGGCGACTGAGACTTGAGTGCAATTTTCCGGGTTATAGGTTTTATCCAAAATAATTTTTATTACTTTGACTTCGACTTCTTCATACTGCTAGATGGGTCCTTTATTTTAGTCAGCTTCCATCCTGTCCTGAATTTTAAAACTGGTCTACGATCCTAAATTTTACGTTCACATGAATAATTTGACTAGGTTGGAATATTGCTCTTCATTGATGGATCTATTCCGCGGCGACTAATGATTTACCGTCAACGAGGTTGACTTGAAGGATAACTTTGGCAAATAATCAGTTGTTCGAAAACACGATCGTAGGTATCGATATGAGTCATATCTGTGCAGGTATCGCGGTGTTGTGCTGAGGTTTGTGCCGGACTTGTGACCGAAGTGTGCGGTTCCTACAGACGCGGCCGGGCGACCTGTGGGGACGTAGATATTCTCGTGTCACACCCAGACGGTTCCTCGCACCACGACGTGTTCTTGCCTTTACTGGATAACATGAAGAAGAAAGGTACCCTCCAGAAACCGTTTGCAGTAATTAAAGCTATTATGTATGTACTTGTATGAAGCCCTTTTGATGTTTTAGTTTTAGATTTAATTTGATTTCGTTTGTGTGAGAATTTTATACTCGGAATCATTAGTTTGATCGTTTATTTATTTTATTTCGGTTGTTTGTAAGCGATCTTTTGAGTCACTTGCGTTTTATTTAAATTTAATCAAATGACATCCGGCAAGAATCTTGACGTCCCTGCTGTTTGAGACTTACGTACGTGTACGGTATATCACTTAAGTACACTGCGCTTTTGAGCAGTGGAAAGTATGATCCAAGCATCAAAGCTTCTCTGGATTGACGGTTGGTGGAGGTAATTAGTTTAATCTAACCCAAGAGCATCATATTATGCGGTATATTGGAATCAACGATCAAATTAATATCGTGGTTTGATCACACAAATTTTTAGCTCTCTGCAAAATGTCACAAAAAACTTTACGGAACCTTTTATTTCTGTGTTTGTGTTAAAAAGTGTTGCGGTTGTTGCACGAATTCATTCCTGATGCATGATATATTTCCTCGATTTTCATGAGCATTAATACGTACTGATGCGATTGCATTAAAGTAATTAATGTGTGTTCTAATTTGCATTAATATGATATACGTATTTCCTGGACAGGTTTCTTGACCGATGATTTAGTGACTCAAGAAGACAATGGCAACCAGCAGAAGTACCTGGGAGTTTGTCGATTACCTGGTCCAGACAGCAAGGCGAGTTCACAACATATCTACAAAATACAGGACAATTTTCCGTCAATAATACACAACAAAACTTACTCGAAAGGGGATAAATTCCAAAATTTTATCAGCACAGAGATTAATGAGATGAGATTAAAAATTATGGTCCGAATTAAGAAAATTATGTGATGGATCAAAAGTTATACAATCGCAGTCATTATATTAGTTTAATTTGCAAAGTAATACAAAGTTCTTTTAGTGACATGAACTTTTGATTTTAATCAACCTCTCCAAAAACCCTGCTTCAAGAACAATGTCATTATTACCACCTATGTCGCTTGCATCTATAGTAAGTTCTCTTCCCTGGCGTATGATTGAAGTCGATGATATTTTTCAATTGTTTACAGCACCGGCGGATTGACATCATCGTGGTGCCTTACTCAGAGTTTGCTCCCGCGCTGCTCTACTTCACAGGGTCTGCTCACTTCAACAGGTGCAGGGCTCTCTGTTTACTTTATTCTACTATTAAGAATAAAGATGAAAGATTAAGAAAGAATAAAGATTAAGATAAAGATGATGAAAAGATAATCCTTAGAGTGTTCCATCAAATAGGTATTTTCTCTCATAATATCATTTATTCTTGCCATGTTTGTAAATGTGTAATGAAACTAATGAACATGTAATGTGATGACGGGCCAAAAATTCTATTTTTAAAATGACCGGTAATTCCAAGCGAATGGATTATTTATTCATGTGAAGAAATCATCTATTGTATTACAGTTTGCACTTTCTTGATGTGAAAAGAGAATAATGTTCATCAAAATTTTCGAAAAAAATGAATCAAAAGAGGCTTTTTAGAACAGCGCTGGAGAAGAATACCTCAGTTTTTGAATGGAATTGAAAACTAGCGTGCTATTTTTTTATATTGTTTAATCCTGGGGAATGGGTTTTAATGTGGGCATCAGTTGTCATACTTGCGTTGTTATCAAGAGAGGTTTTGTTCTTTATAAATTTCATACCATGATAGTATTGATTTTACAGGTTAGAATAACGAGAATACTCTTTTTCCGAGATCTTGGTTCCGAATCAATATTATATAATGCAGATCGATGCGGTTGTTGGCTACAAAAATGGGCATGAGCCTCTCTGAACACGGCCTCCGTACTAACGTCGTGCGCAAGGTGAGTGCACAGGTGGCCTAGAGTTTTTTCTCGGTAACGTTTGAGAAACGTTTTGCCAACTTTACTCTTAAGTCAATTACTTCGATAACGCGATATATAATGATGCGTTACGTGCAGAACTAATACCTAGATAATTTGCAAAACTGTGAACGTAGTAAACATCACGTGTGTCACAGGCGGATGCAATGGATATATTGTCAGTGTCTGTGATATTATGTCATCGTTCGATTGAAAATTATTGCTTTCTAGTGTAGGTTTTGATGGAACCACCATTGTTTGACTGAGACGACTCAATCCAAGGGAAGATGCTTCCACTTAATTCACTATGGGTTTTAAAAATTCCGTATCCGGTGGCATAGAAATGTTTTTTTTTGTCATAAGCAATGTGTGATAGGAAACTCGATCAGTCAGTACAGGCAAACTTATTGCCTACAGGAGAATCCCATACTTCATTAACATTCGTATTCTAATTGCATCACGTTACGAGTGCTTGCCTTCATAAGTAACAGTTGTTTCAGATCATAAGAAAATAATTGTACTCCCGTATTTAAATATCCTTCTACTTTGTGCTCACTTCAGATAAATAAGCTATATAAATTTTTTTATTTGCTACTAAAATGTTTCACATGGGAAGCGGGAGGTTAATTTTTTCTGAAATTTGTGTATTCCGTCAGGGCCGAGAGAAACTGAACGATGGATGCCTGCTGCCGACACAAACGGAGGAGAGTATTTTCGAGCACCTTGGGCTGCCATACAGAGCCCCGCACGAGAGAGATCACTGAAGACCATCCATCAAAATGGCATATCCAGATACTTTATGAATGATACAAATTTATATACAAGTACGGAAACCTTACATCCATTCCATAAACATTTTCTTGGACCGATATAAAATTTTTTGACGTTCGTGAAAACGGTTGTTGCTAAATATATACCTATATTTTGTGTACTTTACTTCAGAGGAAGGTTGGATTAATAATCCAGAAGCTCATGAGTTAACTACTAGCGTAGCAGCACTACAGAGGATTGGAGTTTGAATGTTCTCAAATAAACACAATATGGCTTTCACTCCAAAACAGAAATTATGCAGAACGAAAGTTTGTTCCCACTATAACCTACAAAAAAAACAGGCAATAGTATACCTACACGAGTTAAATCCTTTATTATTGCTAAAGGTCAAATTCAGAATTGTTTCAATCAAATTGCCAATGGAATTTTTTCAAGTAATCATATATCCCTATTGGTAGCACCACGCCGTCATTGCCGTCTGTGATAATTCTTACTTTATAATGTCATGATTAGTTTTATTTGCCGGTTTTCGCAAAAACGATCTATTTTATTTCTTTGTTTTACTAGCTCTTAACAAAATTAAATGATAACTTTCGAAACCAGTGTTGCACCATGGACATATGTACTGAATACCTGAAATCTACGTATGTATTTTGTAATGAATATTGCGATCATGACAACTGTTCTCGTGATTTGATACAGGAAATATTACTGAACATGGGATCGCGTGTAGAGTATAATTTATTAAATGTCCACTCCTAAATATTCAGCCTATAATGTTACAGGATTCTTGAAACACAAGATGCGTTCTGATCGTTACATTAGATTTACACATTGCCAGGACATCTTGCTAAATAATAACGTAACTTTATTGCTAACCCGACAAGAATAATTTGGGAATAATTGAACATGAAGAATAACATGGGAATAATTTCTTGGTACATAATTTAGAGCGCCAGTTCACTGTAGAAACAGTTTACCAGAATTTTTTTGGCGTACAGCTGACAGCACTGAGGATCCAAGTTTCTTTAGCCGGGACTATTTTATTCCTTGCATTGTGTCTTGGATGTGTGAGGCACTTGACATGCAGAACGCCGCTCTTATACACAAAATAACAGTCTTTGCATCGCCTATGGAGTTTGTCTTTGACCTTCATGCCACGCTGCTGTTGTAGTTGTACACTTGATCCTGCCTGTGAAAATCGTTAGTGTTAGGATAAAACTAGATATGCTCAGAAGGATGGAGACAAATTCGTCATCACAACCATTTTAGGTACTGGTACTAAAGCACAGTAGATTAGAGATAAGTTAATTGACGGCAAGAGTTTGAAATCTAATATGAAAGCATTAGAAAAATGGGAGAGAAAAATTAAGTATGTTACTGAATATGATACATCAGGAAATGTTGGTCTTCATAAATTATCTGTAAGAAAAACTATCAGTGAAAAAAATTTTAGCTATATTAGTAGTCAATAATAGATTTTTTTTAATTTGATAAATTAGAATGTACTTCATCTAAAAGATGAAGATGAAGTTGAACAAAAAATAACAGAGATATAAACAATTCCAAAATAGTTGTATTTTCTTGGATACCTATTTCTTGGCAAAGCAATTTTACAGAGAGAAAGTGGAACATAAATAAACTCTTTACCTGCAATAAATTATTCCTTGCATCTGGTGGAAGAAATAAGCTTGATGCTCCAACGAGTGATGAAGAAACACCACCACTTAACTGTGGAATACTGTGGAAGTTATGGCATGAGTTTTGATGCAATTGATTGAATTTAATCTGTGGAGGATGACGATCATGTGGTCTTGCCAGCAGAGGTATTGCAGACAAACTTTTCTTTATATTTAAACATCTCAGATATGAGCTATATAGACTCATTTTAAATAAGTCTACAATTCTGGAAGACAAGAGAATACATAGAACATATAAGATTTCAATGCAAATAAAAATTGCACAATTTATACAGCTTAGTTAGAATGCTACCTTTTGTTATTATACCGGTATACATGAAATTTAAGTCATATACATAGGTTTAGAATAGAAGAGTCAGCATTGAAGTTGGGCCACTAGGCCTGTTGCGGATTCTGAGCATCACACAATTTTCACGACTGGTTGTGGGTCTCTAACACACAACTCACAGCTCCACTTTTGGTGCTCTGAACTTCAAATACTTAGCCACAATGCCTGTGCTTATTTCAGGTTGCTTCATCTTTTAAATATAACTTCATTTTTTAACATGTTCAGTTAACCTACGGTATATAATTGACAGAACTTAGGTTCTAGAATTTCAAAAGTAACAATGGAGCTGGATGTTTTCGATAAAAATAAGCATTTTCTGTAATTCTCAATTATGAGAAAAGTGGTGCACTGTTAGGCAATTATTTGCCTGTAATATTGAAGATAAATAATCTTACTTTTTTTTTCATTATCAAGGCAGTGATGTCAATTACGTACCTATCAATGTAATATCAACAGCATGGAAAATGAGTTCTAGGCTAAGAAAATTTGCAGAACAAATTACCTAGCAGCAATAAAAATCCTCCAACAACTTAGATACTAAATCATTTCCACATCATCACCAACATCCATTTCTGGGCCCATTACTTTTGTTTATAGATGCCTTGTGACTAGACAAACATTTGAGGTAATCAATTTTTTTAATATTATGTTATTTCTGGTGACAGCTGCATCTCGTTTTTTTCATCTCATTTCAAAATTTAAAAAATGTGAGCAATTCAGACAAAATATTAAATATTCACAGCTTGAAAACTTTATGACATTTTGGGAAACCTATCGTAAACTGGGGTAACTTTGACCACTTTTTTTTCAAAATGATGCCATTTTTTTACTAGATAAGTTAAACTTAAATTGAAACGTGCAAAATACAGGTCTATACTCTAGCTTTACTCACCATAAATTGCTGGCTCCTGCCTCTCATAGTTTTGATGTAATTAAAAAAAAAATCGCTGGTCTTTTTTACCCCAGCTCTGGGGGTATCTTTGACCGGGTGGTAAAATCAATTTTATTTTTTGGTAAAATAACTCCAAATAACTCCATGCATTGTAGTAGAACTCTTCCAGTTACATATGCAAAAGAAAAATTTTAGAAAAGTGTCATAGTTTGCAAATGGGAGGTGCTGCTCCCAAATGGGCAAAATGTGACCATCTAATGGCAACCGTGACGGGGTAACATTGACCAGTTTGGAAATTAAGTTAAAATTACCATATATAAGACTCTGTAGAGTCTGAAACATGAAGAAAAAACATTAATAGGTGTATCAAACATAAAATATGTTATATAGGTACCTATGGTAATTTTAACTTAATTTCCAAGCCGGTCAATGTTACCCCCTCACAGCTGCCATTAGGTGGTCAAAGTTACCCCCTTGGGGGGCCGCGCCCCCCATTTGCAAATTATGACTTTTCTCAAATTTGTCTTTTGCATATGTAACTAGAAGAGTACTACTACAATGCATCAAAACCTGGAGTTATTTTGCCAAAAAATAAAAAAAATTGGAGGGGGTACTCTGACAGGCTTTAAAAAATAGCTTTTTTTTTGTGGGTCACATTTTAATTTTTTTAACCTATTAGATATGCAAACTTTTTAAATCTTTCTATTGTGTTACGTAGCCTCAGTATTAGGTCTTTATTGCCCATTGACAAAATTTTTCTATGTCAAATGGTTTTTGAGTTTTGAGGGTTTTTGTTAAAAAAACCAAAAGTGGTCAAAGTTACCCCGGGAGTCAAAGTTACCCCAGTTTACGGCACTATGGAAGCAAGTGGAGTTTAAAAAGATTTGTTCATGCAAATATTCATTACTTTATTAGAATCAGCAGCAGCATTATGAAACATCAGATAGAACCTAGCAGCCAAACTCAGCCCAACTGCACTCTCAAACATACCAATAATATGCTAGACAATAGGCACCTTTTTGCTTGCTCTGGCAGTAGAAAAATTGACTAGGTACGTATCTCTGGATAATGATCTGATAATTCAAATCCAAAGAAATTTCTGCAGCATTGCCAATTTATCAAACTGGAAAATTGGGCAGAATATCAGAGGGTCAAGTATGGCATAATATAGATCAAGGACACCAACTTCATTGCTCCCAGACATAGAGGTATGATCAAGGCAGACGGCAGTTGACAATTGTGCTTTTCTATAGATTGCAATCTTTGTACGTTCTGCATAGACATACCGTAAAATGGGGTAACTTAGACCGGCGGGGTAACTTAGACCACTTTTCGTTTTTTTAACAAAAACCCCCACAACTCAAAAACTATTTGACATAGAAAAATTTAGTCAATGGGCATTAAAGGCCTAATACTGAGGCTACATAACACAATAGAAAGATTTGAAAAGTTTGCATATCTAATAGGTTAAAAAATTAAAAATGTGACCCACAAAAAAAAAAAAACTATTATTTAAAGCCTGTCAGAGTACCCCCTCCAATTTTTTATTTTTTGGTTAAATAACACCAGGTTTTGATGCATTGTAGTAGAACTCTTCTGGTTACATATGCAAATGACAAATTTTAGGAAAGTGTCATAGTTTGCAAATAGGGGGCCCCGTCCCCTAATGGGGTAACTTAGACCACCTAATGTCAGTCCTGACGGGATAACATTAAACATAGACCGGCTTGGAAGTTAATATAAAATTACCATATATAATATATTTTATATTTGACAGCCTATTTATGTTTTTCTTTATGTTTCAGACTCTACAGAGTCTTATATATGGTAATTTGTCATTTGCATATGTAACTAGAAGAGTTCTACTACAATGCACCAAAACATGGAGTTATTTGCTAATTTGGAGTTATTTTACCAAGAAAATATAATTGATTTTACCACCTGGTCTAAGTCACCCCAAGAGCTGGGGTAACAAAGACCAACACTTTTTTTTGAAATTACATAAAGACTATGAGAGGCAGGAGCCAGCAATTTATGGTGAGTGAAGCTAGAGTATAGACCTGTATTTTGCATGTTTCAATTCAAGTTTAATATAGCTAGTAAAAAAATGGCATCATTTATTAAAAAAAAGTGGTCTAAGTTACCCCATTTTATGGTACCAGGGATACTGGGATACGGTAGTACTAGTAGCCTAATAGCCCCTAATTTAAACTTTAAAGAAAACAATGCAACTCACATGAATGTTTTTTAAAATTATACATTAGAAACTACCTTTAGATCAATCTAATATAGATACAAAGGTTTTGCCCAAATATTTAAAATTGGCTAGTAGCTAATGCTAATAGCTAGGCCTAGATGGCATATCGGTCATGGCTAGATCATAGACTTATTGTCATAGATGCTGATTGATTGCAAATTTGCAAGTTGCAACAATAGCCTCTGTTCATTCTCAGCTGATGATCTCTTGAATATTTCAAATAGCATCCATACTAGCAGTACCTACTGCCTAGTGCCTATAACCAGAGGTGGGCAGTAGCGCGCTACATGTAACGGTAGCGGTAGCGGCTCTACATTTAAGGCAATGTAGCGGTAGCGGTAGCGCCCGCTACATATTTAAGTAGCGATACGAGGTTTTGCCGCTACAGCACTACCGCTACATTTATAGATAAAGCCTTTAGATTTTACTTAAGGGGACCGGCTACCCTCCAACAAAACTTTTTTTGTTTACAGACGGATCGTTTTGAAACTTGGTACACATATGTAAAACAAAAATCTAAGGCCTTTCTGTTCATGTAAATTTAAAAAAATGAAAGAAAACATGGAATTAATAGAAAACGGCAAATAAAGGGTACTCTAAAAAGTTTATAACTTTTGTAAATCACATGCTACAATGTCGAGACACATATCATTCGATTTGTAACAACAATAACTAGCGACTGTAGAGCCCCAATTTTTTATTCTCCTCATCGTTTTTTTCGTGTTCTTCCCATTTTTTCATATTTTTACCCCTCCCCTACCTTCCTCCTCCTCCCATATATGAGTCAAACCATGCACATATTAAAAAAAAAGGCTTCTAGAGTCGCTAGGTATTGTTTTTACAAATTGAATGGTATGTCTCTCATTGCCATAGCTTGAAAACTGTTGGAGTTATAATTTTTTTAAGATGGCGTTTTTTGGATTTTTTACTTGTTCAGGGAAGACAAATAAAGTA